GAACTGGTGGCGAAAAACGAACAGTAATTTGTGTTTGAAAGACAGCAGAAGGAATTTTTGAGAGTGGGAAGTGTTGGGAAGTGAAAATGGAAGCATTTGCGATCATTCTGATTCAAAATCATATTGGACCATTTTCTAGCAGAAACCGGTCCCGGTTCTTCGCCACAGTTCGAAAAGTTCCTAATGCTGACTTTTTTCGAAAAATGATCATTGCCGTCCGTCACACTGCCATATGACTATATGTATGTACCTCCGTCACATGCGGACGCCGACCCCGACGCCGACATTTATTTCATATGACCCTAGACTTTCAGTCAAGGGAATATTGTATGGCATTTCGAGATTTCTAGAGATGTCTGCTCGGAGATAGACACGTGCTCGGAGAAAGCGAGCCCTGTCCGAACGACGATAGCTGGAGAGCCGGGACCTGCTTAATTTTTTAGAGTAACATCCGGACTACCTACGCATGTAAAAAAGTTACTAATATTGTATGTTGGTTTTCTGAGAACGGAGCTGCTTTTCCAAAGGTCCTCTGGTCTTTGAATTTTTTCAAAAGTTGTCTGTGTTCATGAGACGTTCCGCCCGAGTCTTGGCTATCGAATACTGAAAACCGCAAATCTCTACCTATCTTCTATCAAAAGTTATTCAAAAAATGCACAGGGCTCTTGTATTTTGGAACGGATAGTAGTTCAGTTTTAAACTTGACGGAATTTTAATCTGAATTCCGACATATATATTTGACGAAAAAAGTTACATTTGCAAAATGATAGACGAGAGTAGGATTCTGAATTTTGTACTTTTTACTAGTAGAATGGTTAAAAAATTGAGTGACGTGCCAAATGAGGCAGGCATAGCTGATATTTGTAAGGGCTCTTGTACTTTGGAACGGATAGTAGTTCAGTTCCAAATTTTAATAACACTAGGTAAAATCAAAGTTTAAATCTGAATCAGCTCAGTTTCAAACTCGACGGGATTTTAATGTAGGCGGGAGTACGATTCTGAATTTTTGTACTTTTTCGTATGTTAAAAGCACTTGTTTGACGATTCAAAGCCTTTGTTTTGGATTACACTGTATTGCCACGCTTGGAAGCGCTTCCAAAAATAAAAAAAGAAAAGATGTTATTGAACCCGTTAGAACATTTTAGTTTTAAGAAAATATGAAAAAGACACTCAACAACAGGAAAAGTCATTGACATATGTACTGAAACGGTTTACCGAGATAAAATTAAGTAAAAGTAAACACAAGGAAAGGTGAAAGAAAAAGTTTATATTTATTCAACAAAATTCAGTCATTTCAGCAGTACTGAATCATGTTTTTCAACTTTGTTTTCACTCGTTTTTGCTGCAAAAAATGGCCCATTCCATCTTTTTTTCTCTTTTTAAAATTGTTCCAATAAAAACATGATTATAAAAAAGAGAAAAAACGAGGTCTGATTTATATATAGTATCTAGCCTTCTTTTTAAATATTTTTTTACATAAAATGTTACATCATTTTCTCTTGTAAATTAAACAGATTTTTACTGGAAACGAAATGGCATCGGTGTATAAGTCGAATGCCGATTCTGAATTTTCTAAAAAACAAATCCTTCTGTGACTGTGTGAAGAATGGAAAGAATGGAAAGATCCAAGCAAAATATTGGAATGAGCATGCAAAGAAACAAAGCCGCAGTACGTCAGTGGACACTTTCCTGTTATTTTTTAACCACTTGAGTTTCCCATAGGATCTTTGTATACTTTCTAAACAATTGTTTACGGTATATCTCAATTTTTCTGTCCAAGTGAAATCTAAAAACTTGAAGGCTTTGACTTGTTCTAATATTTTATTATTCATGAAAATATTTATGTGAGGTATTGTGATCGCTATGAAAAACAATGCATAGAAACGGAGTTAAACTACTGCCCTGTGGCAAACCTATGTATAAACAAAAAACCTTCGATCTCTTTTCGCCTAAGATAACATACGCATGCACAGTCATTGAACGAACGACTGTGCCACCGTTGACATGGACGTTGTAGAACAAAGTGTACAGATACGGTATCAACATGTAACGTAAGATTACAGCTTTACGATTACTGGCGACGACTGAAGGTGAGAAGACACCGGGATCTTGATCAGTCGGTCCAATGGAATTGTGGTTACGAAAGAACGGATTGAATGCACCTTGACGAAGAAAAAGGAGAAGAATAAGTGAAAAATCAACTCAGAAGAAGCAAATTGTTACGACGTACCTAACTGCATCCACCGTTCACACAACTTTTTTTTTTAAATCCACCGTCGTATTTAAATTGAAACCGCAGATATCAGCACCAATCTAGGGTATTCCAAATAAGTTGAATTCCAACAAGCGATAATATTATACTTGACAACCGAATTTGACTAGATTTGAATTAACTGGTGAGGGAAGAGATGCCAGTTTGTTTAATGGTAAAAAACTACGGAAGTTACTACCATCAGCATCAGTCGTGTTTAAGTTTAATCTCCACATGTATACACAGTTGTCGTCTGATCAAGTGTTGGCATCGTTCATAGACAGTGACAATTACTGGAAAAATGTCAAGTGTCCGGAAAGCGGTTATGGAAAATTATCGGCTGTAGGACATAACTGAATCATTTTTCTCGTCTTTTTGTTAAATTGGAAAATTTGTAAAACAGAAGTCAATAGTACGAGTCCGAACTGTTGATCTTTTGTTACTATATCGTGCAAATCGTACGAGGTTGAGAAACATGTGTATGAGGCTGTGTTCTCCAGTGGTTAAAATGACTTCTCGCCTTAGCCAAATGTTACGGAATTTCATTTTTTCGTCGTCTGTACCCCTTCTCTCGGCAAAGAAACAACATTTATCAATGAAATTATACCAGTGATAAATATTAGGAAATTCTACTACTAAAACTAATTTGAGCTTGATTGAACAAGCTGATCAAAAAGTTATAGTCAAAATACAGGCAGTTACGGAATTTCAAAAAATGGGAGTGTTTTTCGAAGTATTCCAGTAAAATATAAATTACTCAACCTTAAATTAATTTTAAAATGATTGCTTGATTACTAAATTAAAGCTCACAGTATGGGCTGTCAGAATCACTAATGACTTTTTCTTGAATCAGTTCCCCGGCAGAGGAAATCGACTGAAAGTGACTTACGGAATTTCACCGTTTTTTGCTCTTCCTTGCAGATGGTTCGGTATATATTTTTCCTGTCACAGAATTACTTAGCAAGCTGTGATTTGCACACAGGTGGATAGTTTGAGGTGCCCTTCACCCCATGCAGACAAAAATAAATTTTCAAAGTTAGACTAAATGGGTATAAAATTGCTCACAAAATAAGCACTAAAACTGTTTTTAGAAAATAAAAACAAAATTTGGCATCTAAACATCAAAGCAAATGAGCCCTTTGGTAGAGGATTCGATGCTGTGTCCGACGATACAGTTTTCAGAATTTTTGGAAAAGATATCTGGATCGGGAATTTAAATTTTCACCACGAAGGTTTGACTTTCATTTGTTTTTGAGTCCAGATTTGTAATCACCGTGAAAAGCTGCGTCTAATGATGTTTTTCTAAGCGTTGATCAAGTTAAAGCAAAAATTCGAACCTTCTCATCCGAAGGTGGACCGGTAGCTGGTCAGGCCGTTCTGTAACTGAGATCTGTGTTCATCTCGTTTAGCTCTTTCTGTCGGATTACCAACACTAATCTAGAGAACAAAATAAATAAGTGTTAACATATTCAGTATTATAAAATTCTTTTCGATCCTACCCATTGCTATGGAAGTTCTTCTTCCATATATACATTAAGATACCAATCAATATAATTCTCAAGTAATCGTGGATTACATAATCGAGGATTTGGAGGAGTCAAACCGAAATAATGTCGATACATCGGCGAATAGAAAAACTCGCTATTCGCAGTAACTGGTAGACGATCCTTCTACACAAATCAGACGTTCATATCAGATCCGTATCAAATCAAAAACTATCTCACTTCTTGTGCCATTGTTGCTGCTTGTTCCCCTTGTTGATGTCTTGAATATGATGGCTGTTGACTTTGCGGTCGTGTTGGATCAGGTGATGTTCCTTTATCACACTTCTTCATATGTCTTTAGTGCTGAGGAAGAGCAGCTATCGACTTCATGTGTTGAATGATCCAATGGTGTAGTGTCGCCAAACACATGAATCAAATCTCTTTCATATCAACTAGCATACAATAAAAAAAAACAACAGACAAATAATATATAGTTACTAGATAGACATAAAACGTCTGTAAATGACAACTGGAAACTGTCATGTTCATCTTCTTTTTCTGATAAAGATGATGATAATGATGATGTTTCCATTTTGGTGAATAAGGATTGAGAAGGCTTTTTACGAACAAGTAAAATCATTCAACGAAGGATTACTAAGTGATTACCAACACTATTACACTGTAATAATGTGTACATTCAACATGGCATGTTGAATGTAACTGATGTTGAATACTTTTGGTCAATAAATGTTCTTGTAGCGCGACGAAATAATTCAGAAGGTAACTTCGTTGTATAAAGCTGCCTAAGAATATTTTTTAATGATATAAAGAATATTTTTGCTCGCTCGTCTGATCCTGATGTGCAATTATCTGTTAAACAATTCATTATAATCGGTGACATCTTTTGATATTCTCGGTCAATAATGTCTTCTACTGAACAAGATCTAAATTGACTTTGCCATTTTGGTACATATTTTGGCCCACGTGCCAAAAGTAATAGATGTTTGTCTGTATATGGTGTTGCTTTTCAACAATAGCTGACGATGGAAGAATATTGTTCAAATGATTATTTCTACTGAGTGTTGACATTTTTGTTTTACTCCGACGATGCTGACAGTTTATTCGATAAGCAATGTCGGAGTTTTGTCGAAAAAAGACACTTTACAACCGGTAACATATTGTGCTCGTTGAATAATATTTTCTTGACGAGCGTCGATAGCATTAATTAACCATATTATTAAGCATTATTAAACCATATTAATTAAACCAACAACCTCCAAAACCCGAAAAAGCCGTCCAGATTTTTTAAAAATCCTCAGTTTGACAAAAAACTAAGACCTAATTCAAAAATCGACGCCGGTCAATCGATATAGTTTCTTTTCCTCTTTTAAACAAATAAAGAATGAACTCTCTACGACAAACCGCTATTAAAAATCTTGGGACGCCGTTCAGGTGTAACTCTTATATAGTGAAAACGCTGTATGAAATACTCGATTTTAGGACTTCTAGGAAAATGCCTGTAACTTTTTGATGCAAGATCATACAGAGTTGTGCAAGGTCTTATTTTGATCAGAAACGTTCACTCTACAAAGCTGTGTGTTCAGAAAAATTTTAATTGCATAAGTATCCAGGAAAAAACCATTATTTCAAGACCCGTTCTTTCGAAGCTCTTAGAAAACTTGCTCAAAATCCCCGAAAAACCAGTTTTGTGATCAAAATTAATACAGATTCTGGAAGTAGATACTTCAGGCTATCTTTCCATGTGCGTATCTCAAAACCGATTTTTTGACGGAAAATTACCATTTCTGAGGGGGGCCCTTAATCATTGCTGCTGCATCCACATTCTCAGCGTTTTTTGAAGACAATAACTTCTCTCGTTCTTCTCTGGCTACTTTTGTATGACCACAAGCTGTTGCTTCAGTTGCTGAAATGTAATGGCCATCATATCTAATTTGACTTGTCCAATAAAAATAAGTGTCTTTTATCCCTATTTTGCGGCTTTACTAAGTAAAACTTAGTACTTTTCTCATTATCATTGGGAAAGTATTTTGAAAATTAAGTATTTTCTAGTGCTTCATCACTATTAATCCTCATATCACCACCTATGAAATAGTTGCCTGGTTCCAATCTGGGGTCCGTACGGACCCCAGCTTAATTATTAAGTAGACATGGCTGGAATTATGCTTGAGTTGCATAGTAGCTGTAAGCATCTTCCACAATGCATCAGTACAATGAGACCGAAGAAGAGAATGGTTTATCTGAGCACTGTTTATTAATCTTTTTTTCGTTATTTTATTGTTCTTTTCTCATATTCTTAAAACATTGCCCAGCATGAGTTAGAAATAATTTTGTGATGATCTGCACAACAAGGAACGTGACAACTAGCGCAATGAGTAACAACTTTTCGATCCCGTTCTCTTGAGCACAGCTGACAACGTTGCTTTCTACCACCTTCTGATGCAACAGCAGACACTGAACCAGCGATTTGTGATCCGATAGCTTGCATGGCTAGCCGAACATTTTGTTGAATTGCCTGCGGATTCCGACAACGTCGACTCAAGTGCGCGTCAACGAGACTGCGACCAAGTTGCTGCAAAAACAAACGTCGTCCATGCAGCTTCCCGTCGTTCCGTTGTGAATTTTTGCTCGTCCACACGACAAAAGCCGCAATTCCAGCGATATCGATCATATTAAAAAAGAAAGTCATTGGCCATCACTTTGTTTTCCCCTTGCATGAATAAGTTTGTACCATTTGATTCATATGGTCGACACCACCTTTCGTGCCGTTGTAATATGAGATTATTTTCGGCTTTTTTTCCATCTCTTCACCGACGCTTGTGTCATGATGCATTGATGAAAGTAAGATCACAGCTTTACTCACTTTCGGCACATAACTGACAGTGTGAGCTCTCGCTCAAAACAGAATATCGATGAATACTTCGAACGTTGACGATTCGGCTGCAGTTCTATAAACCTTTCTCGCTTGTTTCTTCGAATAGTCCCAACAAGAGTGGTCTGAACACCAAGAAGATCCTCTGCCAGCTCTGCACTGGTAAAATAGTTATCTGTAGTGATGGTTCGACCAGTGTTGATCCAAGGATGTACCAATCGTTTTACTAAGTTGTTGATGCGATTCTTGTCTGCATCACCACATGTTGCTTCTGGCTGTCGTCCCACGTAAACTTCACCTTTCAATGAGTATGCTGTGTTCGAGTCACAACACCAATATACCTTTATTCCATATTTTCCCAGTTTACTGGGCATGTACTGGCGAAACGGACACTGACCACGAGTCGAAATCAATTGCTCATCAACAGTGATCGAGCCACCAGGAATGTCTCCAATTGTGCTGAGAGCATTGTTCAAAGCTCCCTAATTGGAGCCAGCTTGTCTTCTTTTATTCTCTTATCTCGAGTAGCTATATCGTCGAATCTGCAAAATCGGAGTAGACTGTCCATGCGATTCTTTGACATTGTTGCCCGAAATACTGGTCGTCCATTGACCATCGACCATAATTCGCTCAGGTTCTCATTCTTAGCTCGCTGAACGCCTCCGAGAATCAAGAGTCCAATAAATGCCCATATTTCATCACAGCGATCGAATTTATAATCTGTGCAGTGATTTTATCACCTTCTTTACTCACTTTTCTTTTTTGAATGTTCTTCCTTCTGTTTGTTTTTCAGCTTGACATTGTTATATCTCTGGTTGACTTTTTAACTGTAAAAAAACAGAGAAAATTAATTTTAGTTTTCGTATAAATGACACTCTGTTTGACAAAGCAATATCAGCTACTAACCACGACACTTTAATGTAATTGAAATATCTTCAAAGAGTCTCGCAATGAGTTCCATGGTTAAACGAATATTTTCTATTTTTTGTGTTGTTATCAGTGAAAAGTTTCTGAATAAAGTTGATAAAAATAGCTTTTCTTCTAACGGTGCAAATCGTTTTCTTAAAAATATTCAGTAATGAACTTTTAAGGTTTACAGTCCTTTGGCGCCAAATTCAGAGTCAGAAAAATTTTAAAATTTTTCAACCTTGTAGAATAACTTTTAAAACTTCGTTCTAGGCGTAAAAGACTCACGAGGGACCATTCCAACGTGTCCCCTTTTGCTACACATTTTACGGAAACGATAGTAGAAGAAAAAAGTTCAAGTCTAAAATAATATCAAATATACGAAGTTTTCAGTTTTCCGCCTTTCGTATAATTTATGTAGTTCTCTTGATTGAAGTTCTAAAACTAACGTTTAGGTATGGTTTTGTAGAGTATTTCGTGGCGCATCTTTTAAAAAAACACTAATCTTAAGATCCTAAAGGAACACGAGAAAAATAGAAAATACTATGAGGCTCATTCGTTAAGAAGCACCCGATAGAAACTTCAATAAGTCTACAGTTCATTATGGATTATCAGTTATACCCGTTAATCCCGTTTTCAATGAGCTTTCATCTGGTATATAATTCATTTTAATATCACTTGTCGTTGGAGCTGTACCACCCTAACTTTTGAAAATCCTACTGTTCTAGAACGCTTCCACTGGAAGAACGCACCAGATAACATCTAATGTAGTGTGTTGTTGAATACAATGCTGAAGTTGATCGACTGTTGTTTTGTCCACTTCTGATGAATAGCATAAATTAACGATATCAAGTAATAATAAAATTGCCTCATATCCAGTCAGTCATAGTCATTCCAGCAAAGCGCAGAAAACTCTGTTTACGACGCAGGAACACGCGTGTAAAGCCTTTGTTTCCACGGTAACGTGCGTTTCCTGCGGTTTATTTTATACACTCGCAGCTGCTTGCGCGTTATTATTTCAAACTCGCAAAACGCGTAAAATTTTTCGTAAACAGAGTTTCCTGCGCTTTTCTGGAATGACTGTGATTGACTGGTTACTGTTCGAATCTTGAATTGTGTAATAATTTTCGAAGAATAAACGCCAAATTCATCAACAGATGATATATCAGTATAGCTTCATAAAAATCTCTATGGACATCTTTTTCTTTTTTAGCTTAACGTTGTCGTCGTCATCGTTATGTACTCTGCTCTGTACGTTTGTACAGTGAAACCTCTATCAGTGAACACCCCTCTAATACACTGAATCAACCCTGTTGCTAGCGTGGACTACACTTTTGGAACTATGAGCTCCAAAAGTGGATCGTTTGACGGTTTTGCACTTAGAAATCTTCTCTAATTTCATTTAATCCGCGCGCTTGTAACGGAGAGAGAGAGAGAGAGAGAGAAGAAAAAATAATTATTTTCTCTCTCTCGCTTGGTCTCAATGTTTTCTTAATTTTCAAATTTCAAGTTTTATTCCATGCATGGAAACTTAAATGAGGAAATGAATATGATC